TTGTGCTACTAAGAAAATTACCTAAGGTTTAGAAATAAGGAAAGATGACCATGTTCCCTCTCAAGGTCATTCTAGAGCATCGTCTAACAAACCCATGTAAGACTCAGCTGATGGCCAGAGGAAGATAATTTTGACTTTCATCTGCTATCAAGGAAACTAAGATGCAGAGGAGTTGACTAACTTGCTCAAGGTAAGAAAGTAAGCAAGCACTGGACTTGATTTCAGAGGCCAAAGCCAATATACTTGATCACTTTACTGTACTATCTCCTAGTACTATTGAATTGATGGACAACCTAACAGAGGAAGTTGGGAGGGCTCCTGCAGATGGCATTTTCCGTTAAGGGAAGGGCAGTTGTGCGGCACCTCCAGGTGCACTTGAACTAATCCCAAGGGTCCCAGGTCAGTGAGGCTCAGCCTGAATGCAGTGGAAGGTGAACTTAGACATGGCTTTCTGTTCGCTCTGTTGCTTGGGAACCCCTCATGTGTACCACTGCTTACCACATGGTTAGGTAACTGGTGTTAAGAAATGCTGTTTTCAGGAAATGATTGCTGAGCATTCTGTTCTTGCATTTGTTCTTCTACTTTGATGAGGGAGAGGAGGGGAGGTGGGGGAGTGGGGGGAGAAGCATGACCAGCCAGGGAAACACAGTGATGTAGCAAATGCCAGTGATGTTTTAGCACTTCCTCATGAAGCAGCATGACCTCCTGCCACCCAGACAGGCCTGCACTTTAGATTGGTCTTGCTCATTCGGCACAGCTGTTTGTTGTTTTCTTAAATGTGAAGCTTTTTATAGCTCTTCGGTTACTTATAAAAAGTATCAGTTATTCAGGCCATATGAGAATTGGCTCAGCGCTGGTCTAATGAGCAGCAAGAACACTGGAGGCATATTTTTGTGGCTTCTATTTTCTCACTGCTTCCCCTCCCCCTACTCTGACAAGTTTCCTCTTCGGACTCATATAACTCCAGAATTTTGGAATTCACTAAAAAGGCAAACCACTGGTTGGTCTTTGCTGTTTAAGAATAATTCCTTGCTGACTCACCTCCTTGCCTGTTATTGGCTTTGTGTGTGAGTGTAGTGAAACCATTGCTGCTCTGAGGGTTTCAGAAAGGACTCAAGCCTATTGAGATGTACTGTGATCTTCCGCGGAAGACTCGTTTTTGCCACACAGAGTGAAAATTCTGGAATGCTTTTGCTGAATAGGTAGGAGCTTTCTCCCCAGTATGCATCCTGTATGGAAAGCAGTCAGGACCTGCTGTAGAAGAAATCCTGATACAGCCAGAAGGAAGATACCAGGAACTACAGTCAAGAAAAATGATTTATTTATTTGAAGGAATTGGACAGTCCCCTTGGCTCTTGGAAGCAGCCTATAGCTGCTTCTTGTGATGGACATGCAACTCTTGGGGGAAATTGTTGTTCCCTTCAAGCAAGAGGATGGCATTGGGCACAAAATGGAGAGACTCTCACCAGAGGAGCCATGGCTGAGAAAATGTGCATAGCACGGAGGTCCCCCATCTGTGAGTCACGGACCTGGGGGATACTGGCATGATTGCAAGACATTTTTACTTGATTTAATGAGTCTGATATATTGATCATTTCTCACAAGCATATAGACACTGAAGTAATTATTAAAATATTTATTCAGTCAGACGCCTGTAATCCTAGGTACTCTGGAGGCAGAGATCAGGAGGATCACAGTTTGAAGCCAGTCCCAGGCAAATAGTTTGTGACACCCTATCTTGAAAAAATAACTAATACAAAAAAGGGCTGGTGAAGTGGCTTAAGGGGTAGAGTGCCTGCCTAGCAAGTGTGAGGCCCTGAGTTCAAATACCAGTACCGCCAAAAATAAATTAACAAAAGATATTTATTTAAGTGAAATATCAAATTTTTGGTGCTTTTTAAAACCTTGATTTTAATTAATTAAGTGATTAATTTTTACCTTAATATAGGTACAGGGTAGGGGCTGCTTTGCCATCCTAGCAAGCTAGTGGTCTCACATTCAGAATGGCCACATTCAGGTATTCCATAGGAATGTGTGACCAGTTATTTGTATTGAAGGAATCAAATTATGGGTTTGTTTTCAGGAAAATATATCCCCAGGACTGTTTCTTGGTACCAGAAGAAGTGAAGCGAACAATTCACCTAGCATATACTGGAAGGATTTTTTCAGAAATGAGTCCTCATTCCATTGAAATAGACTTATAATGAAATGTTATCATCGCTGGTAAATGGATGGAATTGGAGAACATCATTCTGAGTGAGGTTAGCCTGGCTCAAAAAACCAAAAATCGTATGTTCTCCCTCATATGTGGACATTAGATCAAGGGCAAACACAAGGGGATTGGACTATGAGCACATGATAAAAGCGAGAGCACACAAAGGAGGTGTGAGGATAGGTAAGACACCTAAAAAATTAGCTAGCATTTGTTGCCCTTAACGCAGAGAAACTAAAGCAGATACCTTAAAGCAACTGAGGCCAATAGGAAAAGGGGAACAGGTACTAGAGAAAAGGTTAGATCAAAAAGAATTAACCTAGAAGGTAACACCCACGCACAGGAAATCAATGTGAGTCAATGCCCTGTATAGCTATCCTTATCTCAACCAGCAAAACCCCTTGTTCCTTCCTATTATTGCTTATACTCTCTCTACAACAAAATTAGAAATAAGGGCAAAATAGTTTCTGCTGGGTATTGAGGGGGGGGAGAGGGAGGGGGGCGGAGTGGGTGGTAAGGAGGGGGTGGGGGCAGGGGGGAGAAATGACCAAGCCTTGTATGCACATATGAATAATAAAAGAAAAAAAAAAAAGAAATAGACTTCATTCCACTCAGTGGTGACCTTGGATGAATCCAAGTGTCAGACTTGGCAAAGGCCTATGTACAGAGTAAATTGCACTTAAAAAAAAAATTGGCTCTGAGGTTTTCATGTGTATCTACACGCTCTTCTGCTTTTATTTATGTATTTATTTATCTATTTATTTTCCATGGTGTTGTGGATTAAGCTTTTAAGTGTCTATGTCATAATAAAAATGATTAGTATTTACTGAGCATTTAATACATGTCATGCCAGATTTCATTCGTGTGTCATTTCAACAAGCTTTTGTGGTAGCTATTATTATTTTCATTTTATTCATGACGATGTGAGACTCAGTCCACATGTGGCAGGCCAGGACTGAGTCCAGACTGTCTTGATTCTTTAGCTGGCACTTTTGACCACCATACTGTGCTCCCTTTATATTGAACTCCTTTTTGAGTTAGAATTTTTAATTGTAAATTAGTATTCTAAGGGATTGTATTTCCCTTTATTTAATTTAGGATTAGATGTCCTTTCTCATTTGAATATTATTTATTCTATTATGCAAAAAATCTGTCTACCTGTCAGTCTGTCTGTACTATCAAAGGTATAAATTTATGAAATTCACATGTATCAGTTGTCCCAACTTTGTTTAATACACCTCTCACTTCTTTCTGAGAACAGCATCTCAGGGCCCTGTGGAATAAATGTGGCTTTAGTTCATCAATCTTAAGTGAAGCCATTTTTACTTTAAGACTATTGTGAACATTTTGAATTAAAGAAGATATACCAGGGGCCAATAGCATGTAAAAAAGGTCAACATCATCAGTCAGTAGGAAATGCAGATTACGTGAGATACCACTCCACATTCACTAAAATGACTAAAAATTAAATAACTGACAATACCAAGTGTTGGTGAACATGGAAAGCAACTGGAAGGCCCAGCTGTGGTGGAAAGGCAAAAGGACACAGCACCTTCAGAAAGTCTGAGAATTTCTTGTAACATTAAATGCACAATTACCACTATGGCTCGTCATTCCTACTCCTAGATCTTTGCCCATGGGAAAATTGAAAAACCCATACAGGATGTTCATAGAGATTTTATTTGCAGGTAGTCCTAACCTGGATTACAACCCAAATGCCCATCATTTAGAAGATGGATAAACTGTCATATGTACATTATAATGGGATAT